GAGAACTGAAGAAGGATTTTGAGGGAAAAACTGACCAAAACTCTATGCGCTGTCTCCCTACGCTGTCAGTGGGGAGGGGAGAGGCTGGAGGGGGGAAGGTGTTTTAAAGACTTATTTTATTCCTCGTTATCCGCTTCTGACTCTGTTAATAATAAATTTTTGCTTTATACCTTTAAGCCAGTTTTTACCTTTAGAGTGTTTTCTCCTAATCCTTGTCTCAACTCATGAGCCCTTTGGGGTTTTTTTCCCTCCTCTGCTCAGCTACAGCGGAGGAAAATGAGTGGTTTTCATGGGTGCCTGTCATTCAGCCAGTGTCAAACCACAACAGTCAACAAGGTGGTGATCAGTAAAACATGATGATCTTGGAGTCTTTCCCAACTTAAATGATCCTGTAATTCTATAATTTATTAAATGGCTTATAACATTTAAACCTCTAGGAAAGATTAATAGCCGTCTGACATTGCTCCAGTGAAAACTGTGTGCCCTTGATTCCAGCTGCAATGCTGAAGTGCTCAGAGCTCTCAGCTGTACCTTGGTAATGTTGATGTAATGTTCTACTATTTGAAGATCCTGTCTGCCACTAAACATCACCAAGACATTCAGCCTTTCTCACACATGAGCAGTCAATGGCCGATGACCTGTAATTCTCAAATGATAATAAATCCAAAGGAAGGAATTGCTCTGCTAAATGTTAGCTGAGTCACTGCTCATTACAATACAAGGAGTAAATGTGGAGCTGAATTTTTTGAAGGGTCAAACACAAACTTTAATAGAAGTATTACTCTTACAGCTCACTCTTTTGAAATCTGAATGAAGAAACCCATAAGGTAAGTAATACCCCTCACTGGGAGTGTTCAAATACTAAAAAAAATGCTACATATTAAAAAAAAAAATCTATCCAAAAGGCTTGGCATAAGATTATATTCTTTTCATTATGTTTGAGACCGCTTGATTTTTGGTCATGGTTGAGACTGAGCTTCTCTTAAAAGAAACATGACTCATATACTGCCCGGCACTGATTAAGTATTCTAAACTCAATGTTCTTTCATAATGGCTTGAACTTCAAAAATTAATCAAACCCCACAATTAAAAGAAATTACTCTTTTGAGGATATTGTAGTTCAGCCAGAATATGTGCCAATGTACTGAATATTTTTCATCTTAACACCCCAATTGCTTGTGAAGTTCTAGAGACCAACACTTTTCCTCAGTAACAACTGTATGGTGAGAGTGGTATCTTCTAGGTGGAAGGGTGGAAGTCTTAAACTTTATTTTTTGCCACTGTCCTAAGGAAAGGTAATCTGCTTTGGCCCTATACTAGGTCAAAGCTGTAACAATCTCCTATTGGTTCAGCATACTTCTTTAGTAGAAGTGTGAAAAAAAGGCCCCTCCCTACACCTTCCTCTGCCAAGCCAGCAGGAGTGATAGAGATCTTGGCTTGGTTTAATCATTGAACAAGATGTACCAGGCTGCTTTCCAGTAAAATAAGTCTGCCTTCCTCACCCTCTTCTTAGGATCCATTTTGAGGTTTATTGCACTTAGTTATGAGACAGAGATTCCAAGTGTTCTAAGCTTAGATGGAAAGTATGAATGTATTACAGTGATGGTTTCAACGCAGATGTGTTAATACAAAGATACCTCTGTCAAGATTTATCTTACCTCACTTTAGATAGTGATCACATTAGATTCTAGCCATGTCCGTTGCTTAAGTTCTTGCTGTGGTCAATTAGATAGAGACAGCACTCAAGGACAACTTGATCCCCATGACTGAGATGCTGCTTCACCATGGTCCTCACCACAGGCTGCAAGTATATCTCCGTTCTGGTGCCAGGAGCATCTCCTCCCCCTCCTTCTCCACTGACCTTGGTGTTTGCACAGTTGTTCTTCTCACATGTTCTCCCTCCACTCTTCTCTGTCTTAAATTACAACTGTACCACATCTTTTGTTTTCCCTTTTGCTTAAATATGTTACCACAGAGGCTTTATCAGCATTTCTAATTGCTCCAGCCTTGGCCGGTGGCACATTCATCTTTGGAGCCACCAGGGGTTGGCTCTGCTGGACATAGAAGAAGCTTCTAGCAGCTTCTTAAAGAAGCCACCCCTTTAAGTCCCCCCTCTGCTACCAAAATCAAAAACAATGCACTGGCTTTTAATAACTACACAAATTTTTAAAGTGAGCAGTCGTTTCTCACACCTCTAACTTCTGGGCCTTCTCTCATGTACCACACCATTTGCTTTCCCCTCACAACTCCAGCCTTGCCAACCGCTTCCTTGACTTGCCTACAATTGCCTACACTTGCTTTGCATTGCCTTACCTGCATGGAAGGAAAGGCAGAGTGTGATAGCAAGGCAAGGCAAAGCAAAGAAAGGAAACATTTTGTAGGACTAGGCAAGGCAGACATAAGCAAGGCAAACAAAGCAAGGGTAGGCTAGGAAAATTAGGCACAGTACTGAAGGCAAAGCATGGCCAAGTGACTGCCATCTTTTACTTGGGAAGTAAAAGATCACCGCAGTGGATGGAGTGGTGGTAAGGGTGCCACGATCTTCCTGAAGAAGCATCCTGAGAAGGATGGCTCAGGGGTACAGGCACATCCTTCGCTCACAGCTGTTTGATATTTCCAGACAATGCAGAGGGACGAGATCAGAGCATTGTATGGCATTCCACAGAGAATAAAGCCTTTATTGAAATATCATGTTTTCTGCCAGGCTGTTGGGGTCCACTCCGGCTAGCTATGGACCCTTGCCCACACAATAATTCACAGACGAAGGTAAAAGATTGAGAAGCGCTCTCCTCCACCTGGGAAACATTCTCCTTTATTCCAAGAGACACACCAGGAGGACAAACCCATGGGAGAAAGAGGGTGTTCCCTGGTGACAGGGAACTTTTGTACCCTGGGGATGGGGACAGAGGAAGAGGTCCACAGCCAATGGGATACCAGTGAGGAGCGGCGAGAGGAGGGGCAACCCAGGGAGAGACCACCAGGGGGTACTGAGGTGGGTGAGGGAAAGATCATGTGATGGGGGAAAGGAATAACAAACCATGTGATATAACATAAGCTATATAGTGCAATATAAAACTATTCTGTGCAAATTCCCAATCACCCAGTGCAAAAGAACAACTAAAACTAGTGCACCACAACACCTTATTATGAGCAGAGCAATCCGTGAAGGAGGCCAAAGACATCAGCTCCAAGGAGGCAGGGAAAACAGGGGTTTGTATGGGAAAGGCAGGGGGCAGAGGAAAACACGTGAGTGAATGGGATGAGGCAGAGGCAGAGCAAAGGGGAAGGGCCAATGGGGTAAAAGAAATCAACATACAGTCGCAAAGGTCTCTGGGGCAATTTTCTTGCTCTTCCTGACTGAAAGGGTTGTAGCTCAGGGGTTGGCCCTGCAGGGGAGTGCAAGAGGCTTTCTCTTTGCCAGTTCTCCAGCCCCCACAAAAGATAAAGTGGCAATGTTGGTAGGGCAGATGTTAAGGTACTGTGGGGAAGCTAGAGTCCAGGAAGACATTTCTGTCCTGGCCCCTTCTGTGTAAGAGCCATTGTTCGACATAGTCAGTACTGGACGTGGTACGTAACTTTAACTTGGTAACTTACTGAACAAGAACGGCAATGCTTTCTCATGGGTAGGAATAACGTAGCCCCAGTCTTGGACATGCAGATAAGAAGCTGTGTCGTGCAGCTTGAGGGTGGCAGCAACTTTCTGTCCTGGTGCTGGTTTGGAAGCACTGACTCAATTTACATAATCATGGAGTCGGTATCCATCTTTGCAAGGCAGTCACCCTCCTGAAAGAATCCATTTGGTATGTGTTTTCCACTTCTCAGCGGTAGCATTCTTGAAATTCTGCCAACACACTTCTTTTGGACAAGGTAAGCAAGACCCGCCTGCGCTGGGTCTTGGTGTGCCGTGGATCTAGACCCCCACAAAGGTAATGCCCAGTACCAGTGTTCTGACACCTTTGTATAGGATCAGTCCATGGATATTTTCGATTTTGGAGAAGGGTATGCCATTTCTTTTGAGATGGGCTTCTAGTTCCTCTCTTTGGCAAAGAAGGCAAGTTTGGAGGGCACTTTGGGGGGTCAACGTGAATTTAAAGGCTTTTCCGAATAGGCACTTCTCCAGGTTAGAGCTCTTGAGCTGTCAGTGGTAGTGCAGAGGCCAAAATAGGGAGTTTTTGTCCCTGTAGCTTTAGTGTGTGAGCAGTCTCTGGTGCCATTCCATTTGGATCCAGACTCTGTGAGACTGAAGGCTTATGGTGATACCTAGAGCTGAGAAGGAAAGTGACAATAGCAGGGTATGTCTTCGTAGTTTGATGGGTGCAATTGAAACTGTAGGGAGCAAAGAGCTTTCTCCACCAACAGTTTCCTGAGATCTGTTTTTTGCAGATGTTTTCAAGTTCGTTACCGGACTCTAGGAGAGTGAAAAAAGTTTGTTAGGGCAGAGGAGTTGGTGTTGCCCTTTCAGTGTGGTGCAAAGAAAAGTATGCTCTTGGAAGGGGAAGATCAGTGAAATCTTGTTGTCCTGACATAGCTGATTTGAGAGCAGGGATGTTTCTCACTTGGCTATGTCCTGGGGGTGGTTTTGAGCTGGGCTCAGTGAGTGTCCTTGTTTTGTGAGCCGACAGCGCCATGGTGTGGTTATTTTGATGGGCCAGGACAGAAGGCATTTGCTGATCTACCCTCTTCCCTCTGCAACCTGACATTAGCAGCACAAATATTTTCATACACTTTCATTGTTACCATGTCCATACAGCTAGAGATTACACAGATGGAAGTGTCAAGAGGGAAGATGTTCTTAAAGTACTTCCTGTTCTTAACAGCCTTTAAATTGAGCACAATGTTCTGTATCTTCTTTCCCAGATAGACCTGCCATCACGTTTTTTCACTCTCATATCTTCATTGCAAGCATCCAGCAGCTACTCTAATAGAAAAAGGCTCTTGAAATAAAAATCAGTGCAGAGCTGCACCTTCTGTGTGCCCCATGTAAACCACACCAAACTCACCTGTCCTTGCCTTCTCCGCTTCATCTACCATTGTGTTCTCTGGATCTTGGAACCTAAAGATAGGCACAGTTGTTTCCACAGAGGAGTTGGAAGAGGCACAGGTAGCAGCACAAGTAGCTCTTGCTGAATTTTAGTCCTTACGACTGCTACAATGAATTAGGTTGGTAGGCCTGATGCCTTGGGTTTTAGCTTTTATAATTTTCAGATTCTGTACTGCTTTAGTGTGTAGTTCTGAGCTTCATATTAGGGGATAGTAAGCTCTCATCATAGTGTAGGTAGACAAAACGATTCCTTCTCTAGCTGGGGACCAAGGACAAACAATCCAAACCTCAGGCCAAAGAGTATAAACAACAGCGGAATGAAGAGAGGAAAAACAAGAAGGATGGGACTTCATAACCTAAAGCTATAATTGGACAATTAACTCCAATATCCTAATGGACCAGAACTTACAGAAGTGAAGACCTTGTGACTGCTCATCCATTTTTGTGACCATTTTGGGTTCATCTTGGGTGTAGCCCTGCCTGGGCTCTTGTACTGCCTAAGCTGTATCCACTGAGGCCTTTTAATAAATACCTACTTTATTTTTTAACTCCATCTAACCTCAGTTCTAGGTCAACCTTCACAAGGCATGAGGCCAGTGCTCCTTTTATGCTGATATGCTGCACCCACCAGCCTGGTTATCTGCGGCTTCGTTCTTCACCTTTTGTAACCAGTAGCACTTTTATTCTCCTGGAGGCAAACAGGCATCTACTTCTTGCTATGAACACTGTGCCAGCAGTGAAGGGCTCCAGAGCACTGCTTTTGCCTAAGGACGCTTGGGCCAGGCACTTACCTTCTCAGCACTCCTTAGCCCCATATTCTGTGTCTCTTGCTGTCTTACAGAAAAGCTTTTTTGACTACATCTCGCAAGGAGAAGCTGTGCCAGGACAACAGACTTGCCTAGAGCTTGCCCCTACATCTTTTAATTGCTCCACAATCAAGGGGCAGTCCTCTTTCCTATACAATTTGAAAACTGCTGTCAGATCTTGGTGCTCTCTTCCTTGTCCTTCTCAGCTCAAAGTACCAGCATGCACATGACAGCCTCCCAAGGACAAAAGATCTGAGAGATGTCACAGTGCATGCGTGTAGCACAGATGCTGAAAAGCGGCAAAGCCGAATGCCTTGGCTGAGCATCAATTTTGTGCAGACCACAGAGGCACCACATGTTTTGCGCTGTTTCAAAGCTCCTTGGAGAAGGAGGACTTTAAGGATACCTTGTGTTCCGCAGAAGTCTGCAGCACTGAAGGTGTAAGAAAATGCTTATCTTCACACTTTGTCATGAGGTCCCACAGCTGCAAGGGTATTCTCAGATGACTCTGATTGTGAACAAGCTGTTGCTGGGCTTCTTCAATTCAGTATGCTGCTCACACAAGCCCTCTGCTCTGCCACTTTGCCTTTAGTGATCCAGACAGAAGAGATGCCCAGTGGTGGCATTCAGCTTTGCCACTTTTCAGTGCATATACTGCACACAACCACTGCATGCTGTGCACGGTTTTTCCTCAGCTCGAAGCTCAACTGTCCATATAGCTCTTACATTGCGACAGAAGCCAGAAGAGAAGCACTTTTGCTGGATTAGCCATTCTCTATCCAAGACTTTCAAGAGCACCATAATCTGGGTGAAGAGAAGGGGACATGAGAACGCCTTCTGTATTGACACATGCTTCCCGGTGATCTATAGCTGCATAGCCTTTGCAGCAGTGAAGGTGTAAGAAAGTGCTTATCCCCATGTTTTGTGATGAAGTCCCATGGCTACAAGTGTAGTCTCACCTGACTCTGCGAATGAACTGTTGCTGGATTTTTGCAATTATGTACACTGCGCACAAAATCCCACTGGTCTGCCCTTTCATTCTTCGCCTTCTGTGATCTGCACAGATCTGAAGCTCAGTGAAGGCATTCCGTTTTGCTGCTTTTCACTCTCTGTGCTGCATGCCTGTACTGTGACATCTCTTGGGATTTTTTATCTTTGTGAGGCTGTAATGTGTACACTAACGCTTCAAATTGAGGACTGTGCAGAGAGCACCACAATCTTACAGCGCTTTGCAGGCTGTATACGAAAGAGGACTGCCCCATGAATGTGGTGCAAATACAAGTTTTCACAAGTTCCAGGGCAAAGCTCCAGGCAAATGTGTTGTCATGGCACATTTCCTCTGTGTGAGACACAGTCGAAATGCTTTCAATCTAGATTTAGATGCCAAGAGGGCAGATTGTGGAGATACGCAGTGCTGAGAACATTTGCATGGTCCAGGCGTCTTTTGCCAAAGCAGTGTGCCGCAGCCGACACAGTGTTCTGTGCGAGAATTAGGCAATGAGTTGCCGCCGGGAGAATGAAAGTGTGACAGCTTCCAAGAGGCGAAGAACGAAGCCACAAAGCACCGGGCTGTGTGCATAGCATTCAGATTGCTGGAGGACCATGCATGCCGCTTGCCTGCCTGCCAAATTCACACTAGCATTTATATGGAGGAAGTTCATGGCCAGATTTCTGGTGCTTCTACCTGCTGTGGTGTGATTTTGTTCTTTACTTAGTTAATTCATTGTTATCCTATGTCAGAAAATTGTTTGTTCCGTGTACCCCTGCCCAGTTCTAAAAATGGTTTTCCCCTAAGTTGTGTACACCCCTTTCCCTGTCAATCTCCTTCGTACTTACCCCTGTTTCTAGACCCTTCATTGTCAATCCTCTAAACTCTGCCCCTGCAGCATGTCCATGATTGTTTGCTACACCACTTTGTCCAGAAACTTCTTTGTCAGTTATGTTATCCCATCTTTCCTATTAGTTGATTATGTATACACTCCTCCCTTCTCTTCCATCATTGGTTGTATTATAATTATGTCCGTCCTCATGCTCCTTCTTGCTAGCTGGCAACTGGTTGTTAGGCAGTCGCCTCCCCAGAGGCTGCACCCCTTTATAAATTGATGTAATTGCATGTTCTGTGCTCTTCTATGCCTGGTGTCTCCTACCTTGTTACTTTGTACCTTGCTCATTCTTCTTTTCTCCAGGAAAGAATAAACAGCTTGGAACTCACAGCTAGAGAGCCCCTCTCTTTCTCATTCGTTGCTCCACCTTGATGAGAAACCCCTCTGGGAGCCTGCTTGGCCCGGATCAGCTAAAGGAGGGGTTTCCTGCCAGTGGCCGAAGTACCACCGTGCACACTACAGCCTTACAAGGACTAAAGATCCCGAAAGATGTCACAGTGCATGCATGCAACTTCCATGCAGCACCCATGCAGAGAACCAGCAAACCTGAGTGCCATCGCCTGCCTTCCATACTGTGTTGATCACAGAAGGTGAAGACTGAAGCTGCAGAGCACCAGGCTTGTGTGAACAGTGTATTGAATTGCAAACATCTGGCAAAAGCATGTCAAGAATAAGTCAGCAGAGAATACACTTGCTGCTTGGAAAAGTAACACTGCCGTTATTCTTCATCCCAAAACATGGAGATAAGCACTTTCTTCCACCTTCACTTTGTAAAGTCCTTGCAGCTGGAGATCACCAAGAATGCATCAAAACAGAAGGTGCACTTGGAGCGCTCCTTCTCCAAGCAGCCTTGAAACTGCTCACAACACACTGTGCACTGTACTCTCCTCAAATAGAGAAGTGCCATCCTTTTTTCACTCTCTTGGCAACTTTCAGCAGCTGCTCCCACAGAAAAAAGCTGTAGAAGTAAAAGCCAGTGCTGGGCTGCACCTTCCCTCTTGTGCAAGTAATCCACATTTAACACACTGGTGCATCTGTCATTGGGTTCTCTGCATCTCGGAGCCTAAAAGGAAGTGCAGTAGTTTACACTGTTTGCTGATCTTCCCCTTCCAAGTGCAGACTCATATTTGCACTCAAACAGCAACATGAACTCCTTTGTCACTAATAAATCTTTTCACTCTCACAGAGTCAGTTACAAATTTGAACATATTGGGCAAAAAACACAGCTCACAAATATGTCAGCTGAAAAAGCTTTTGCCATCTACAACTTCAGTTGAACACATCCAACTGCATCTGTTGAAGAGAGGAACTTCTCAAAGCCCTTCTCAAAAGAAATGGCATATCCTCCTCCTAAACAGTCAGTCTCCAGGGACTGATCCCATAAAAAGGTGCTAGAACACTTGTTACCAAGCATTCCCTGCCCCTGGGCCTATATCAGCTGCATACCAAGACAGAGCTTGGAGAGTGCTTACCTTGTGCAAAGTAAGGGTACTGTCAGAATTTCAGAAGACCACCTCTGAGGAGTGGAAAGCACATGCCAAATTCAATCTTTCAAGAGACCTTCCCAACGCTTTCTTCCCTGGTCTTGCCTTGCCTGTCTGCACCTCCTCATGTCTGTCTAGATTTGTTTATCCCAACCCTGCATTCCCTTACTAAACGCTCAGTGTCTTTCCTGTGCTCTTCATTGCACTCCCTTGCTTTGCATTGACTTGCTCACCCATCCCCCACCATGGCTTGTCTACCACTTTTTTCCTCACCTCGCTGTGCATTGCCTCTTCCTCTTAGGACACTCACTCACTGCCTTGCTTATCTAGCACGTGCCTTACCTTGCATACTTATACTTTTCCTTGCCTTGCACTGCCTAACATTCCTCCAGTTGGCTTCCTCACCTCACCCCCACCTTGACTTCCCTATCTCTTTTTGCCTGGCCCTGCCTTGCCTTGCTTGCTCCTGCTTTGACCTGCTGGCCCCAACTTTGAATTGCCTTACCAACACTGAGGCATCCTTCCCTCACCTCTCCTGCCACTCCTTTGCCTTGCATTGCCTTGCTCACTTATCTCCCACCTGTAGTTTGGGTGGCCAGGGTGGGCC